TGTGTTCATCCAGCTCTACACCTTGTTATCTCAGATTCTCCAGCATCTGCAGTTCCTACTATCTCTTAACCCTAACTTTCTTTTTTATTCCCAGGATATGTTCATTCTGATTCCCATCATTTTGACCTTAACCAATAGCCTTTCACATGAAAAATGTCATATGCTGCTTAGAAATTGTGGCGCACCTTACCCCAGCACTTTTCACAGTCCACATGGCAGAAATGTTTCAAATTAATCGTAGTTCCTCACAGCCACAACTTGCAGATGAGATTGGCTGCTGGCACAAAGTTATGGGTTGGGTCCTCTGTGATTCAGAATTGTGGATGTGGACTGAAATGTATGAGGTATGTCAGGACCATGCAGAAGTCCTGGCGCACAGACATGCACTGTAATTACCTGGGAAGTTTAAGCCTCCGATGGGCTTATGTTTCCTGCTGCAAACACTACATGAATGTCTTACCCTGATTTCAGAGCTCGAAATTTGAGCTAGATGCATGTTGCATTCCCAGATATGGATTACTATAGTATACATTACCATAGAAATGTTACAGAGTTTAATCACTGCTGTGACAGCAGAACTCAACTCACTACATTCCACACATAGCCTCGAAAACCTCAACCACCCCATGAATCTAATTCTAAACCCCTTGATCCAACAAGTAACCCCTCACAATTCACCATGTCCCAAACCATCCTGACCAGCCTCTGATCCAAACTGACTTCATCCTCAACATGAACCAAACCATCTATTTCCTGACCTTAGTTAAGACCCAACCAAAGACCTGCCCCTGATATAACCAGATTATTCTGCCTCCTCAATATGACTCACCTATCACCTGGTCTGCCTATCTCCAAAATTCCTAAATTGATGACACCATCCTTGACCTAAGCTAACTACTCCATCACCTAAAACAAAATTGACTACTCTCCCTGACTAAAGACAGTACTGACGATAGGTTGGACGTAACTGACAGTTTTCAGAGATATTAGCATCAAAGTTCAATGTTACCTTCAAACCTATACCACATGACAAAGTTGGAAGCAAATCAACACAGCCCCTGAATCTTGTTTTTTAAATTTAGTCATCATTAGGATATTAATATCACTAGTAAGGCTGGCATTTATTGCTCAGTTCTACTGGCCCTTGAGAGTAGTAATTGGCAGTCTTCTTGTTTATATGGCGTAGATGCATCTACAACATTGTAAAATAGGCAGTTCTAGAGTTTGACTCAGTGACTGTGACAGAATATATTTCAAGTTAGGATGGTGTATAACTTGGGGGCAACTTGCAGATGCTGGTGTTCCTATACATCTAATTCCGTTATCCTTCTACGTGGCAGAAGCTCTCTGCATTGGTCTGCTGTGGAGAGCCTTTGAGAAACACTGATGTTTGTCTTTTTAACTTTGCTTCTTGGCTTTTCTGACCAATGGTCATACTGCGTTAGCTGTAATGTAACTTTTTTTCTTGGTTTCTCTATTCTGCAATTTAGTATTGTACCTAGGTTCCTTTTACCTAAGATGGCAGTGTAAGTGGCAACTTATGAAACTTTCACTATACTCATTTGAGAACATGTGACAATAAAGCTAATCCAATTCAATTCAGTTGTAGATTTGAAGCAACTTTGGTGCGTGGCTTATTTATTTTGTGTTGAAAGGTCCAACAACTTTCTAAAATAAACATGCATGCAACATTAAACTTGCTTAAATTTAAGTACGGGAAGTTGACTCATTAAACTAGATTTCAAGCATTTTTCCCCATAGGATTCTCACTATATTCAATCAGCTGCAATAACATTACATTTGAGGAGATAATTTGTTTCCTATACATAAAGATACTGTTGTTAGAACATATTCCAATCTTTTACTATTAATTCTAGCTGAGTCGAGTGGCAAATCTTTGGAAAGTATAGTAGCAATGGAATTATGGAATGTTTCTAAGATTTGTAAACTGAGCAATGTTTAAATCATTAGATGCTAGAGAAGAAATTCATTCACATAAGCAACGCCTCAAACTCTTACTGCGATTTTTCTGGGAGCAGCTCACAACAGCACCCTTCAGTGGTATTTTATATATGATAGCTGGACTGGTGCTGTGCAAATGAATTATTTTCCTAGTACTTTCACAGAGAGAGGAGCTTACCACTGGTATGCCAGCTGGAGAGTAGGCATTAAAGGGACCGACATGGTCTTCTACATTTTCATATCCAGCAGGTAGCGGTTCAAAGAAAGATGTGTTGAAGATCTGAATATAATTTAAACATTTTGTTATTTTTGTGTATTTAATTATTAATGAGCTTCTATTACTTTGATATCGTACAAAATTAAAATTGTGGTTTTGTAGCATCTTTTCAGTTTTCTGTCTGGCTGCTGCCTATTTCACAGCTAAAGAAACACGAGTCTTGTGTGGCAATGATTTACACAATCTCCAGAATTCATGAGATGGAGATTCTAAATATGCTAAAATCTCAAATCTGACCTGAACCTACCTCCATCACCAATATCCAGATTGAATAGAGCAGGACACAATATAACGAAGCCAACCTGTTCCCAGCAAGTAGGCTATTCATTTAAATGTTGTAAAGGCAGTTTGCAGCATTACATTCAAATTCCTTGCAGACTTAAGCCTGGAGTTTTTGGGTTTTGTTAAACTCTGAAGCTCAAAGGAGGTAAAGAAGGCTTACCTTCCTTTACTACTCAGATATGAGGAAAGAAGAAGTGCTTCCTCACAGGCTACTTAGCTACTTACTCCCCCCACCCTCTGCAATCTAAAGATTTCAAATCATGATTCCTTAAGGTCCTGGTTCAGGCCTCCTCATTCAGCATTAACAGCTGAAAATACCTTACCTGTGGATGCAACCTATTTCTAAGTGCTCCCCACCAGACCATGACTCAATCCTGTCAAACAGGCTGACACCGGGGCAGGGATATCATTTTAAAAAGTCTATGTATACTGTGGAGTCAAAACACTATAGGTTTCAGAGTAAATAACTTTAGTAGGAGTTACAAACAAGAAAATATTTATTTTAAGGCTGACTCATGTGATCTTCTGGAATTGATCATTAGCATGTGAATGATCTGTGGTAACACTTCCATTTCATAGAATCCCTACAGTCAGCCCATTGAGTCCAAATTGACCCTCTAATATTCGAGTAGATTTGTAGCTCGGTTGTGGATGCTGTGGTTGGTTTGCTCATTGAGCTATTTAGTTTGCAGATGTTACATTAACCTGCTAGGTAACATCATCAGTGGAGATTTCGATGAAGCGTTGTTGTATTTTCCCGCAGGCTGTTTAAACTTTGGGGTCTGTTGGAGTTGATTACCTCAATTCCGGTTTTTCTTTGCAGTGGTGTGTATATAGGGTCTAATTCTATGTGTTTATTTATGACTTTCTTGGTGGAGAACCAGGCCTCCAGGAATTCTCTGCTTTGCTTGACCTAGGATCCTGATGTTGTCCCAGTCAAACTGGTGGTCCTCCTTGTCTGTAGTATGAAGACGAGTGAGTATTGGTCGTGTCTTTTTGTTGTTAGTTGTTGTTCATGTATTCTCAAAGCCAGTTTTCTTCCCGTCTTTTGTCGCACTTTATCGGAAAGAAAGACATACTGGTATTGAAGGAAATCCAGAGAAGGTTCACTGGGTATGGATGGATTTTCTTATGAGGAGAGGGGGAGTAGATTGGGCTTGTCCTCACTGGAATTTACAAGATGAAGTGTAACGTTATCGAAACAAACAAGCTTCTTAGAAGGCTTGACAAGGTTGCGAGGTTGCTTCTCTTTGTGAAATAGTCTAGGAGCATACATAGCGTCAGAGTAAAGAGTTGCATAGTTAAGGCAGAGATACCCCGAGCGGCATGGTGGCTCAGTGGTTAGCACTGCTGCCTCACAGCGCCAGGGATCTGGGTTCTATTCCACCTTTGGGTGACTGTCTGTGTGAAGTTTGCACATTTGCCCCATGTCTGTGTGGGTTTCCTCCGGGTGATCTGGTTTCCTCCCACAGTCCAAAGATGTGCAGGCTAGGTGGATTGGCCATGCTAAATTGCCCATAGTGTTCAGGGATGCCGAGGTTAGGGGATGTGTTTGGGTTGGATGCTCCGACGGTCGGTGTGGACTTGTTGAGCCGAAGGGCCTGTTTACACACTGTAGGGATTCTATGATTCTGTGAGATCAGTTATAATCTCATTGAATGCTGGGGCAAAATTGATGGGTCAAATGGATTACTTCTGTTCCTAAGTCTCATGGTCTTGTACCAAATCTCTTTGGCTCAGTCATTAAGCTGGAACGAGAGTTGGAGAGATGCTGACAAGGGAGGGAATGATTTCTGGATAATTTTTCCAGAATGAAGACATACCTCAATAATGCTATGTTCTCGTGAAAAGGAAGGTCTGACTGACTGGGAGCTAGGTAACATGGAATTATGAAAGATTGAGGTTGAAGAGCTGGAGACACCTGTAGGACAGGATCAATGTGCACTACATCCACATGAACAAAGAGAAAGACTGCAAGGAGGACAGTCACCAATCAGACCAAGGCAAGACTATGACTCAGAAAGATGGGGATCAGGAGGCGAATACAAGATTTTAGTAACTAGGGCCTCGATAATAGGGGATAACTAACTTTCTCTGCAGCCAAGCCAAGAATCCTGAAGGGTTGTTGTCAATCTGGTGCCAAGATAATGGATGTCTCACAACAGCTGGAGAGGAACCTGAAAAAGGATTGATGACTCTAGCTATCATGATAGAACGAATGAGGAACATTCTGTAGGAACAGAGTGTAGGCCTTGCTGAAAGAATATCAGGAATTAAGTTCAAAATTGAAAGGAGAACCTTAAGAGTAAAAATCTTTGAAATACTGTTTAAACGCACGCAAACTGACATGGAGGGGGTTGCAACAGATCAGGAGAAAAGGAACAAATTAAGGGGGTAACATTAAGGGCAAGGGGAGAAAAAATCTAGAGTTTACATCAGAAGTATAATAAGCTGGTTAAACATATAACGTGAGGAAATTGTACTAAAAATGAATTAAAATCTCTGCATTGCTGAGAACATACATATTTTATCAAAGTTTTTCAGCTTGTTCTCATCAAGACATTTCTCAAGAATACGAATTCAAGGGAAACCCAAAATTTATACTGCATGAGGAAATACTGCAGTTTAGTTGGCAAGTAGAAACTGATTGCTAGAGTCATTGCCATGGAGAAGACAACCATTAAAGCCAATAAATAGTTAACAGCTGGGCTGTGTTAAATTTTCTATTGAATTTGTATTCTTGTGAAATGTGCTGATGGGTGCAAAGAGAAAAGTTTGTCTTTTGTTACCAATACTCAAGTTTTGTACAACCTATTGGCTACTAAAATATTTGCACTGCAAAGTTCATTGTTTCCGTAATTAAACAGGAGAGTTACTATTACAAGGCACCAAACATAGAAAAGATTACTGAACCATAGCTACAAAAAAATTTTCAGGCTACAAATTAAACATGTTAGGGCATAATACATTTAGAAAAAATGGAGAGAGAAGACAGGGAAGTGGAATACTTATGCAAGATAATCAATGGCAGTCAAAAAAGAATTTGGATTAGGTTATTGCAACTATTAGCAAGACAAAAATAGACTCCATGTGGATGTAGATAAAACATAATAAAGGATCAATCACTCTAACAAGCATTTCTACAGACCACATGAGTGTTAAAGACGTAGAAGTGAAAAAATCAAGAAGGCAAAGATGAATTTTATATTCATTGATAAATTAATTTCACAGAAAAATAGTAAAATATTTTACTAGTCCTTCAATAATAAAGAGCACAGATATGATGGAAATATCCACTAAGGAAGCCCACAGGTAATGATGGATATAGTAGAAACAGTATTTTGTTTTGCTACTAACCAGGGAGCTAGAACAGGTAAAAATGAAATTGAATGATGAAACAAATGTGTACTAAAAATTGAAGAGATAAGGAAAACAGTGAGAGTAAGCAGGAAAATGTGAGAGCAAAGGAGGGCGAGAGTATGCAGAGGAAGAGAGTGAACGAGCAAGACTGAGAAAGAGAAAGACCGCAAGTGGGTAAGTAGTTAAGTGTATTCTACTTTATCTTGAGATAACAAGGTGTAGAGCTGGATGAACACAGCAGGCCAAGCAGCATCAGAGGAGCAGGAAAGCTGATGTTTTGGGTCTAGACCCTTCTTCAGAAATGGGGGAGGGGAAGGGGATTCTGAAATAAATAGAGAGAGGGGGGAGGCGGATAGAAGATGGATAAAGGAGAAGATAGGTGGAGAGGAGACAGACAGGTCAAACAGGCAGGGTTGGAGCCAGTAAAGGTGAGTGTAGGTGGGGAGTTAGGGTGGGGAGTTAGGGAGGGGATAGGTCGGTCCAGGGAGGACGGACAGGTCAAGGAGGCGGGATGAGACTAGTAGGTAGGAGATGGTGGTGGGGCTTGAGGTGGGAGGAGTGGATAGGTGGGAGGACAGTTAGGGAGGTGGGAACAAGCTGGGCTGGCTTTGGGATGAGGTCAGGGGAAGGGGAGATTTTGAAGCTTGTGAAGTCAACATTGAGACCATTGGGCTGCAGGGTTCCCAAGCGAAAAATGAGATGCTGTTCCTGCAATCTTCGGGTGGCATCGTTGTGGCACTGGAGGAGGCCCAGAATGGACATGTCGTCCAAGGAGTGGGAGGGGGAGTTGAAATGGTTTGCGACTGGGAGGTGCAGTTGTTTGTTGCAAACCGAGTATAGGTGTTCCACAAAGCGGTCCCAAAGCCTCCGCTTGGTTTCCCCCGATGTAGAGGAGGCCACAACGGGAACAGTGGATGCAGTATACCACATTAGCAGATGTGCAGGTGAACATCTGTTTGATGTGGAAGCTCTTCTTGGGGCCTGGGATGGGGGTGAGGGGGGAGATGTAGGGGCAGGTGTAGCACTTCCTGCGGTTGCAGGGAAAAGTGCGGGGTGTGGTGGGGCTGGAGGGGAGTGTGAAGCAGACAAGGGAGTCACGGAGAGAGTGGTCCCTCTGGAAAGCAGATAAGGGTAGGGAGGGAAAAATGTCTTTGGTAGTGGGGTCAGATTGCAGATGGTGGAAGTGTCGGAGGATGATGCGTTGGATCCGGAGGTTGGTGGGGTGGTACATGAGGACGAGGGGGATTCTGTTTTGGTTGTTATTGCGGGGACGGGGTGTGAGGGATGAGTTGCGGGAAATGCGAGAGACGCGGTCGAGGGCGTTTTCGACCACTGTGGAGGGGAAGTTGTGGTCCTTGAAGAATGAGGACATCTGGGATATCCGGGAGTGGAATGCCTCACCTCGGGAGCAGATGTGGCGGAGGCGAAGGAATTGGGAATAGGAAATGGCGTTTTTGCAGGAAGGTGGGTGAGAGGAGGTGTATTCTAGGTAGCTGTGGGAATCAGTAGGCTTGAAATGGATATTGAAATGGTGGTTGCCAGAAATGGAAACAGAAAGGTCCTGGAAGGAGAGAGAGTTATTGGAGATGGTCCAGGTGAACTTAAGGTTGGGGTGGAAGGTGTTAGTGAAGTGGATGAACTGTTTGAGCTACTTCTACTTTATCTTCATTTCTTTTGCATAATAACCTTCTGTTTTATTGTTAAACTTAAATCTGCAGCATGACATGCTTGGTTTCAATGAAAAACCACAATGTTAAAACCAAACAAGAAATCAATTAAACTAGATTTCAGGTATTCAGTAATAATGCCAGCTAGATTCATGGCAAGATCAATAACTTTTAAATTAAATTTTAACTTTCAGCAACTAACTGAATGGTTACACAACAAGATTTCACGTTTTAATACTTTTCCCATAAGAAATAAACTGTAAGCAACATTAACTAAATATTATTTCACAAGGCAAAACTACCAAAAATCTACCTCCATTGTTATTATTGTACATTGTCCCTAAAGTGGACACTTCATTCTCAAAGAACCAATCCAAAGTGATTCATAGCTCCGAAGGGATCAGTTCCATTCTTTTATTTTCTCAGCCAGGCAACCCTAAGCCCAGACATGAATTTTATTGAAAGGTTCAAATTGGAGATTATTCCTTCTAGACAAGGAAGGCAAATCTTCCAGCTTTGTTTAAGTATCATGAATGTTGTCTCTTCCATTGGAGTATGAGGTCCTATCTGCATTTCATATGGTGACTGATAAGGTCAGCATCTTCTCTATCTTTCTCCTCTCTCTCCCTTTCTTTCTCTCTCACTTCTTTTTCCTCGCTGTCTTTCTATTTCTTCTCTCTGTCTTTATTGATCGTTTGCTTTCTTTCTCATTTTCTTGCTTCATTTCTGTTTGCTCTCTCACTTTCTTTCTCACTTGCTATCTTTCTTTCTCTCTCATACGTACCCACTTGCAGTCTTTCTCTTTCTCAGTCTTGCTCTCGCCCTCTCTTGCTCTCACATTTTCCTGCTTACTCTCACTGTTTTCCTTATCTCTTCAATTTTTAGTACACACTTGTTTCATCATTCAATTTCATTTCTACCTGTTCTAACTCCCTGGTTAGTAGCAAAGCAAAATACTGTTTCTACTATATCCATCATTACCTGTGGGCTTCCTTAGTGGATATTTCCATCATATCTGTGCTCTTTATTATTGAAGGACTAGTAAAATATTTTACTATTTTTCTGTGAAATTAATTTATCAATGAATATAAAATTCATCTTTGCCTTCTTGATTTTTTCACTTCAAATCGGATCAGTGATTTGTGCACAATCACCCCACTCTACCACTTCCCACCTCACAAACAGGTTCATTTCTGTTTGGCAAAAAATTAGTAGGTACCAATGTCTAGAGCTTTCTATAGCAAAGTACACAGCACTGCATTTATCCAAATAATACAGGTCCATCCTCCCTGACCTGTGTGTGGCCCCTTCGCAACTGAGAATTGAAATTCTAATTCTCAATTCTGAATTTAAAATTGAGAGCTCAAGTTTTAGGACAAAGGCAGGTATACTGATGGAGAGCTACATTGCTGAAAGATATAAAGGTGTATTCGAGAGAACATACACCAGATTCGCAACAATAGTCCCAGAAAATAGGAATTTCAGTTATGTAGATAAATTGAAAAAGAGAATGTTGAGAAGAAAGGTACATTAAATTAAGAGGGGTCTGGAGAGAGCATATTCGTGCAAGGAATGAGACAAGAGCGCACAGATTCAAGATAATTTTCAAAAGAAACAATGACAAATGAGAGAAAAACATTTTTAAGTAGCGAGTGGTTAGGATGCGGACTGCATTGTCTGAGTACATTTTTTTTCCAAATGATGCATTCAAAAGGGAATTGAATTATTTTCAAAAAATGAAGAATATGCAAGGCAAGGGAGCAACACTAGGTAAACTCCTTCTAGGGAAAGCTGGTGAAAATAGAACGATCTGAAAAGACACCTTCTTCGCTGTAAAAGTTCACAACAGCTTTTAATTGTGCAATAACCATCAGAACAGATTAAGACAGGGCAGATGCAGAAGGATGTTTCCAATGATGGAGGAGTCCAGATCCAGGGGTCACAGCGTAAGGTTACAGAGTAAACCATTTAGGATGGAGATGAGAAGAATTTTTTTCACCCAGAAAGTGATGAGCTTGCAGAATTTGCTACCACAGAAAGCAGGTGAGGCCAAAACATTGTACGATTTCAAGGAGGAGGTGGATATAGCACTTGGGGCTAAAGGGGTCAAAGGATACAGGGGAGAAGTCAGAATAGACTATGAGTTGGATGATTCGCCATGATCTAATGATTGGTACAGCAGACTCAAAGGGCTGAATGGCTTACTCCTGGTCCTATTTTCTATGCTTTCTTTGTTTCCATAAATTGATATTTCCTACATTGCTGTTTGTGAGGTCTTGCTATTTGCAAATTAGTTGCCATATGTGCCTGCATGATATATCAAAAGTAGTTAATTAGCTGTAAGATGATTTGTGATATTCTGAGGATATAAAAGCTTGAATGAAAATACAAATTCTTTATTCTTTCTTGAATATTCGTCGATTTTTGTCCAATTTAAAAAGAACTATTTGAAAACTAGTGAATTGTGAAATATATAATTCAATGCATCACTATCTCATTTCCCGCTTAGTCCACATTTTAGAGTATCAGGAGATTTATCATCTTTTTGTCGTAATAACTTCTTCAGATTTTTTTTGTTGTGATATTGAACTCAAAGTTCTTCATTCTCTCTGCTTTAGAATGTTTTGGGAATTCCACCAAACAGACAGACACACTGTATTTGCTCAATGTCATCAATCATGGTTTTATTCCCCATTGTAATTTTTTGTCTCCCCTTGCAAGGGACTCATATTTAATTTTCTTAATCTCTTTTTACAAACGTACAGAAGATTTTACAATGTTGTATTCTTTATTACCCTTTTCAATTTCTTAGTCATTCTTTGCTGAATTTTAAAACCCACCAACCTTCAAGATTATTCCTCTTTTTGGCCATGTTATGAACCTCTTCCTGTAATCTAATACAATCCTTAAGTTCTCTTGTAAGCTATTAACTGAACAGCATTTCCCTCTGTGCATTTTATTTAAGGAACTTATATCAATACTGGGGAGACAGGATTAATGTGCAATATTCATATAGCATTAGACTTGTCTTTACTAACAAATCGGTTCGTTCATCTTCAGAACAAGTAATATCATAAAACCTTGACTTTGTTTTTAAACAAAGCACAATATATAGTCTTCTTGGACCTTCTCAAACATGATGGCCTTAGTTGTATTCTTTTCCCTCTATACTCCTCCATCTTACATTTATAATTACATCCAGTTTGAATTTTAAAAAAGCCTTTTGTTTACACTTTTACATGACATTATTATGAACACGAGAAAGTATATCAGTGGAAGTGAGATTTATTAAGTGTTGACAGCTTGCTTTCTGACACACTCTAAGCATGGCCATATACTGTGTAGTGGCATGCTGTAAACAATAGCACTCTGACAACAAAGAGATTCACAAACGTTGGCTTGCAGCTACTTTAAATATGATTGGACAATTAAAATTAGGCTTGCACAAAATTCAAAAACAGTAAGGAAACATTTAATAAAGGATATGGATGAATTGGTGATAACTTACTTGTAAAATAGATTGCGGGTAAGTTTGACCAAATTTGACCAAAACTAGTTAGATGAAGCAGCACTTCTTTCAACAACCAAAGTTACTGAAGTCAGAGGGAACAAGGATATCAAAAAGCTTATAGATGGTTGCAAAGATCTTAAAGTTGATGAAAGGGGGTTATACAAGCTAATTGAGCTGGTCAAAAGACAGGTTTTAGAGGAGATGACTTATTGGAAGTCAGAAGTATAATCTGCATATAGAACTCAGGTATCAGCACGGAGGACATGGGGACGACTGAATTTTATTATAAAATACAAACTATTAATGGATATTACTTCAAATTAATAGGGAGGTCTTGTGACACATTAGGAAACGTCCCTTTCTTTGAGCCAAATGCTCCAGGATTCAAGTACTGCTCCAGGATTTGTTAGTCATAATAGGTACATTAATAACATAGCATAACAGGTCAACTATCAATTTCCAAATTCTTCCAACATGCCCATTGTAGGCAGCAAGAATGGGAGAGACTCCAGGTCAGCTTTAGTTTTGATCAGTTTTCATACATGAACCATGAAGTACAGTAGAGACATTTTCAGATGTGATACGAAACACCTCTGGAGCAGATGGGACTTGAATCCAGGTCTTCTAGCTCAAAGGTAGAGACTCTAACACTGTACCACAAGAACCTCAAAATTTGGGGGCATGCCTATCATAAATGAAGATGGTTGTAGTTGTTGGAGGGCAATCATCTTACTTCCAGGACATAATTTAAGGAGGTCTTCAGGGCAGATATTTTTAATCAATCCATTCTGAGATGGCAAGAAACACCTCAGGACAGGTGGAAGTCTAACTCAGGCCTCATGTCTCAGAGACAGGGACCGTAACATTGCACCATGTGGGTGTTGCTCAAACTTCAGGCTAATGACCTGTTCCAGGAAAAAGAAATTATGGATACCAATATATCTTATGTATTTCCTTAAAATGGGAGGTGTTTAAATACATAAAATTTGATTAACAAAAATACGCAAGGATCTAAATTAAATGCAAGATCTTTCACTTTACCGAATTTCCATTCTCATCAATAATAGAGATGTAATTAGGATTGCTTTTGTTTGGGTAAGACAACAGGACGTCATAGTGAACCAATTCAACTGAATCCAGTCCCCAGTTCTTCCACTGTGTTTGAATCTGTTGGGCTAACTGGAGATTTTTTTCAGTTCCAGCTAAATGAGGAAATCGTGTCCAATTCCTGAATGAAACAAAATTAATGCTCATGAGTACTTGAAAGCTGATGAATCTGTAGAGTAAAATTGAAAAATTTAACATAGGAAATAATTTAGTATTTTCAAAAAGAAACATAAACTGACTCATCGTTTCATTAAAGTCTGTCTCCATAACATCCGAACTGAGCACATTAGCCTAGTTGAATGGCTCAACCTGTATTGTTTTAGTCCACTGCCATTCATGACCTGACAATGCATTAAACAAGGGAGCAAATTAGCTCTGCCCTAGCAGTGTCACCCTTTGTGCAGTGATTATTACATTTAGGTTCATTATGGAATAATTAAAACAACTGAAAAAAGAATCAACTTGCATTTGTTTGGTGTATGTCAAATTAGACAGACAATCACATTTGACAGGGTACAGAGTACTTATCTATCAGCAGAAAAGAGGCAGGACATCACATCCTGTAGTCACAATAAATCAATTAAAAGTGATGCTTATTAAAATAAAGTACAGCAATATTAGTATTTATTCACAAATTTCCCAGAAAAACCTGATCATTGAAATGTACGGCATAGAGGTTCTGCTCAATTATGTTGATTTTCTTCATCACAATTCTTCTGATACTGGTGCAAATGATGCAAAAGATCATGGATTTTTTTAAACCAGAAATTACATTCAAGGCAACTTGAGTATCTGCATTTTTTTGTGTTTTGAAAAAAAAAAACAAGATGCACAAGAAAATTGGCCTGGCCACAAAACATATAACAGTACACAGAGCAAATTAATCATATTTGGAAGTGTCCACAAAATATGCTAAGTTGCAGCTTTCCAAGGTTGGTCCAGATGTTAACCCATCTGTCAAAAATTAATCTATCGTTCTTTTAATGATTAATTTCACTACAGGTTTCTATTGATTTTCAAACCAAGTGAAGACGTCAGATCTTCTGAAACGGTGCCATCAATTTGTGAGGCAGCATTGCTGATCATTGAGCCACCACGCCATCGTAACTTACCACCAACTTATCTCTAATGAAAGCACAATTTATGGCCCTCTGGGAATATAGAAAATTACACTTTGCAGTTCAAATTCCAAAAAAATTAATATTAACCTAGCATTTTACATTTGATTACCAATGCTCAGCTCAGTGACTCCACTTAAGTTCCTACATTTTAATCATGTGGAATGCCATCACAGTTATCATCACAGTATTCTCTGGCTTAATTGTTATCTTAAAAATCTTTTTGTTTTTTGTTTCTTGTAACTTGGGTTCATTCATTCTATGGATACAACAGTGTTTCACAGGTTTGCCATTAACTTCTGGTTCCTAAGGTTTTATTGATTCACGAACTAGAGTTTCAGAAGTTAGTAAAGCCATGTATTAGCCAGAGTTATAGTTCACTTACTCAATCCCATTTTTCTGGAGGTGAGGTTGAAGCCAACAGGCTTGCCTGCTGTGGCAGGGAACATATCAGACACATTAAGAGCCTCGTTCCTTTTTGAGAAGGTCTCCAGGTTCCTACATTGGCAGAGGACAACTTAGGGCATGGAAGTAGACAACTACCGGGGGCAGGCAGTCCTGGAAGGCCTACAGGCCCTCCTTGTCTTCCTGGGTGCAGATAATAGAAGCAATAATAGAGCATTTGGCTCCTCAAGCCTGTTTCGCCATTCAACGATATCATGGAAGATCTTCTACTTCAATGTTACTTCCCTCACGTGCCTTGATGTCTTCAATATCTAGAAATCTACTGATCTCTGTTTTGAACATAGACTCTACACAGCTTGGTTAGAGAATTCCAAAGATTCGCTAACCACTGACAGAAGAAATTCCTCCTCATTTCCTAAATGGTCTTCCATATTTTGGGATTGTGCACCCTCCCCTCCAAACCAATACTCCCAGCTAGATGAAAAATCTTTCCTACATCTACCCTTTCAAGCACAGTAAGAAAGTTGCATGTTTCAATAAGATCACCTCCTATTCTTCTAAACTCCAGAGAATACAGGTCCAGTCTCCTCAATCTTGCTTCATAGGGCAATCCTGCATCACAGGAATCAGACTGCCGAACTTTGGTTGCATTTTCTTTACGTCACGTAAATCCTTCATTTGATAAGGAGACCAAAACTGGATGCAACACTCCAATTTCACCAAAACTCTATACAATTGTGGCAAGATGTCTTTAGTTTCAAAACGTCTTGTGAGAAAGGCTGGCAAGAACTGCAGATGCTGGAGTCAGAGGTAACACAGTCCTCCAGCTCCACACTGTGTTATCTTTGCAATAAAGGCTGAATTGCTTGCTGTACCAGCATGTTAGTTTTCAGTGACTAAGAACACCTCGGTCTCTTTGGGTATCAATACTTACCAATCTCTTTTCATCAGTTAAGAAATTTTCCACCAAAGTAGAAAAAATTTTTGCACATTATGTAACATCTGCCATGCTCTTACCCACTTATTTAGCCTGTCCAAATCTGCTTGAAGTATCTTTACATCCTTCTCACAATTCACATACCCACCTCATTTTGTCTCATCTACAAACTTGTAAATATTACATTTGATCCTCACATCCAAGTCATCGACATGAATTGTGAATAGCCAGGGCCCGAGAACCAATTTCTTATCTGTCTTCCGTCCATCAGCCAATTCTCAATCCAGGCCAGTCTATCAACCCCTAACCCACGTACTCTAATTTTGTTTACTAACCTGTCGTGTAGAACCTTAGCAAAAGCTTTCAGAAAATACAAATGTACCATACACATTACTGTCACCGTATCTATTCTGCTAATTACATCCTCAAAAACGTCCCACACATATTGAATTGGCCTAACCCTGTGTCTCGAGTTCTCACTTGTCTCATGATAGAATCACAGCATTTTCCCTACTACTAATTTCAGGCTAACAAATTTGTGGTTCCCTGTTTTTCTTTTCTTCCTTTCTTAAATAGCACCATTATATTTTCTAACATTAATCTGCAGAAACCATTCCAACAACCTATAAAATTTTGGCAGATGGTTCACGTGTGCATCAATTATATCCACAGGGACCCATTTAATACTCTGGAATGTAGATGATCGGGTCCAGACAATTACCAATTTTAGGTCCCATTATTTTCTCTAGTAATATTGCGTTTTATTAATACTAATTTCTTGTAATTCCTCATTTTCGCTAGCTCCTTGCTTCTCTGGTATTTCTTTTTTAAATCTTCCTCTGTGAACACAGAACAAGTTTTTGTTTAGGTTTTCTGCATTTTCCTTATTTCTCATTATTAAATTCTCCCATCTTTGCCTCTATTTGACCTACATTTATCTTTACTAACCTTTTCCCTTTACATATTTATAAAAGCTTTTATAGTCCACATTTATGTCTCTCATTAGTTTACTTTCATATTTAGTCTTCCCATTCTTTAATCAATTTCTTTGGTTCACCTTTGTGGCGTTCTAAAATGCTCCCAGTCTTCAGGTTCCCTATTCTTTTCTAGGGACTTTATAAGTCTCCTCCTTCGATCTAATACAATCCTTAAGCAGTCACACACTACTCTGTAGATTTGAAAACTTGGAGTTAGGGCAATTTACTATTAAAATACCTCCTCCCATCCTTAGCTTACAGTCTGCTGCTCCTTTCATGCTAATGGACCTCTTATTTGTACTGCAGCTTTGAACCTACATGCCATCCTTAGTTAGGTTGAGAATCCCATAAAATTCCCAACTCACAACGTTTTCCTCTTCAACTGGGACACAGCTCTCATAGAATTTAGAACTGTGCCTATTGCCCACAGAAGAACAGTCCAGTCATCTTTAATTACTTTCTAAACTCTGCTCTGCTCACTGCATTCTCCATATTCTCGCAAATAGCTTTACCCTTTGCAGAACATATGAGCTCTATTCATGCTGTATAGTTACAAACCTAACAGACAAAGACTATACAGTGTATTTTACAACCCCACTAGCCTATTTGAAGGTAGAAGTAACACCTAACATAAAATGGATGGCTCTCCCACCACTTTCGTACTGACCTCTCAAGAGGCTGATTAATAGCTACCGAAATCCTTATTCAACCTCTCTCACTATAATATGTGCAGCTGGGGAAGGCAAAAAGACAGAAGGAGATGAGGGTCAATGCCTCCTCTGGAGTTCTCTATGCCCACTGGAGTCAGTCATCTCCCCACCCAAAAAAGATAATACCCTATTTCTTTGTGCCCCATACCCGGCCACCTCCTCCCCATCCCATCAATAATCACCAAATTCACTTTCCTGCCCTCTCCTCATAATACATTTCTTTATTCCATTAACAAACAAGTCTGTAGCATTAAAGAAGTAACAGAAGCAACTCATTGAATTGTCACTAACACACATCACAAAGATAGAAAACTATTCTGGTTTAACATATTAAGTCAAAAAAACTAATTTGCATTTATTTAATACTTATTTTTCAAAAGCAATTGTGATGAACCATCTTCTTGGGATTTATACATTACAAGACAAGAGGATAAACAAATAGAAATTAGGAACAATTTATGTAGCCTTCTGGCACAGTGGGCATCAATCTTACCTCTGTGCTAGGATCTCTGGGTTTGAGACCCACCCCAGGACTAAATGGTCAAGGAAGCTCCATTCCTTATAGAGTCAAGTAGGTTGAACATAGACACCAAAAGCAGGCAGGAAGAGCAGGAGAGATCATCTGTCAGTCATGTGAGAAAGAGTGTTGCAGTCTCTGCCACAGCCCAAGTCCAGCAGGCTTTTCTGGATGAATTCTCACGTTACACTCCTCTCATTCATAATCAGTCCTCAACGCAAGTGTTCTAACACCACATCCCACAGCATTTCACTTTTCACCATTTCAGCACAATGCCAGCCCAACATGAGGTTGAAAACATTGTCCAACAGTTCAGAACCAATAAGTCACTGGTGCATGCAAATACTAAAATATGGCAGAGAAGCACACTTGACTTGTATGCACAAACTCAATTCCCTCATCAGGAAGGAGAAGAGTATGGTAGGGATAAACAATGCTGTAATTGTGAACACTGTCT